CCATTTAGGTATTTTTTAACATCTTTATTGAAATATAATTAACATCATGCAACTCACCCATTTAAAGTGTACAATTCAATGTTTTTTAGTATAATCACAGATACATACAACCATTACCACAGTTAATTCTAGAACATTTTCATTGCCTCAAAAAGAAACCCATACCCTTTAGCTATCCACCATTACTCCTTTGTCCTCCTCCCCCAAATCTAAGCAGCCATTAACCTATACTATCTATTTCTATAGATTTGCCTCTTCTGGACATTTCATATAAATGGAGTTTTATAACGTGTAGCCTTTTGTGACTGACTTTGGTCACTTAGCATAATGTTTTCAAGGTTCATTTATGTTGGAGCATGAATTAATACTTCAATTCTGTTTTTGGCTGAAAAAATTCATCCATGGAAATAACAAATTTTGTTTATGCATTCATTAGATGATGGATATTTGGATCACTTCCACTTTTGGTTATTATGAATAATGCTGCTGTAAACATTCATGTACAAGTTTCAAATGGACACATGTTTTTGTTTCTCCTGGGTATATACAGAGGAGCAAAATCGTTGGGTTATATGGTAACTCTTTTTAACCATTAGAGGAACTACCAGACTGTTTTCAAAAATGCCTGCATCATTTTCTATTCCCACCAGCAGTATGTTAGGGTTCCAATTTCTGAATTTTCCTCATCCACTCTTGTTATTATCTGGTTATTTTTAACTGTAGTCATCCTACTGGTTGTGAAGTGGTATCTTGTGGTTTTGGTCTGCATTTCATTAATGACTAGTGATATTGAGCATCTTTTCATTTGTTTGTTGACCATTTGTATATTTTTTTTGGAGAAATGTTTACTCAAGCCTTTTGTCCATTTAAAAAATTGGGTAATTTATCTTTATGTTAATGGATTGTAAGCTTTTTAAATATATATTCTGGATACTACACCCTTATCAGACACATGATTTGCAAATATTTTCTCTCATCCTGTAGGTTTTATTTTCACTTTCTGGATAGTGTCCTTTGATACACAAAATATTTTTAATTTTAATGGAATTCAGTTTGTCTATTTTTCTTTTATTTGCTTATGCTTTAGGTATCATATCTAAAAATCCATTTTCAAATCAAAGGTCATGAAGATTTACTCCTGTGTTTTCTTCTAAGTGTTTTATATTTTTAGCTCTTATATTTAAGTCTTTGATCCATTCTGAGTTAATTTTGCATATGGTGTGAGGTAGGGGTCCAACTTTATTCTGCATGTGGATGTCCAGTTGTTGCAGCACCATTTGTTTAAGAGACTGTATTCTTTCTCCAGAATGGTCTTGACACCCTTGTTCAAAATCAATTGACCATAAGTATATTAGTTTATTTCTGGACTCTCAGTTCTGTTCCAATGGTCTATATGCCTATCCTTGTGTCAATACCACACTGGTATGATGAAGTAGCTTTGAAGTTAAAAAGTGTGAGTCCTTCAACTTTTTATTTTCAAGATTGTTTTGGCTTTGGGGTCACCTGCAGTTTCATGTAAATTTTAGAATCAGCTTATCCATTTCTGCAAAAATGTTTTTTTAGATTTTGATAGAAATTGCATTGAATCTGTAGCTTGTTTTGAGGAGTCTTGCTGTTCTAATACTATTAGTCCTCCAATCCATGAATATGGGCTATCTTTCCATTTATTTAGATCTTTTAAATTTTCTTTCAGCAATATTTTGTGGTTTTCAGGGTGTGTACCAGTCTTATATCTCCTTGGTTAAATTTATTACTAAGTATTTTATTCTTTGTGATGCTTTTGTAGGTGGAATTGTTTTCTGAATTTCATTCTTGAATTGTTCATTACAAGTACACAGATACACAAATGATTTGTGTACATTGATTTTGTATCCTGCAAAGTTGCTGAATTCATTTATTATTTATAATAGTATTTTAGTGGATTCCTTAGGATTTTATATATACAAGATTATGTTCTCAGGGAATAGAGACAGTTATACTTCTTCCTTTATGATATGGATGCCTTTTGTTTCTTTCTAGCCCTGGCTAGAACCTCCAGGACTATGTTAATTAGAAGTCCTGAGAGCCATTTCCTCCTCTTGTTCCTGATCTTAAGGGCAAAGCATCTGGTCTTTCAAAATTAAGTTTGATGTTAGCTGTGGGATTTTCATGCATACTCTTTATCAGATTGAGGAAGTTAAAACTGGATGTTACATGAAGTCAGCATTCTTATCATCTGATCTTTCACTTGTTATAGATACTCTGTATTTTTTTAAAAATTGACTTTAAAATAAATGTTTCATAAATTTTTCTTTTTCTTCTTCCAGTAACTATTTAATTAGTCAAAAGGATGCTTTTCCTTACATCTTAAACACTGTGCTTCCATTTTTAAAAATACTTATATTGGCTGTTATTCTCTCTCTCTCTCTCTCTCTCTCTCTCTCTGCATTTGAGCGAGGAGAAGTCTGTTTTCCAGTGTACGAGGTTATGGGTGTTCTGTTGTCCACCTTGTGTGCTATTAGACAACCCCACACCCCCCACTCCCCACCCCCAGTCTAGATTCTGAAAGGCAATTACAGCACAAAAACTCTTGTCAAAGTTCTGTGTCTAACACTCACTCATTTAATGTGCCACAGGGCTGAGGAGGGGTCTCCTGCTTCTAATGATGGGCTATCTGACTGCAGGGAAGAGGATTTACCTCTGTAAACTTTGGAAATGTTTGTATGTGCATCCTGAGCCAACCTCTACTAGAGCATGCCCCTGGTGGTCTGTCCCACTGCTGCAGTCACACCCCAGGATGCAGTCTCCTGTGACCTTGCTGTGCCATTCCTGAGTCTAAATGGGGTCTTAGAATGGAGGGATACTGACAAGTGCAGAGTTCAAGGATGAAATGAATGGCCTTGGTTTGCCCCACCCCCAAAAATGTGTAAATGATTTTTAAAAAGGGAAGTTTGGAAATAAGTTGACTGTTCTCATCATCAAAGGCACTGAGTCTCTGACACTAGGCCAAAGGATTTATTAGTGCTTCCTTTGCACAAACACTGTTCTAAGTGCCTCTCATGTATTAGTTATACAGGCCTTATAACCACTCTGTTATTACATTTTATAGATCTTGAATCTGAGGCACGAAAATGATAAATAGCTTCTGAGGTCACCCAGCTACTGAGTGGTGAGGTCAGCATTAAACCCACAGCCTGACTCCTTAACCACTCTATATCTACTTATGTATCAATCTACCTCTCTATCCAGTCAGATAATAGATATAGAAGTATACAATAGATATAGAAGCACGCACACACACATGCACACACACACGCACACGCCAGCAACGTTTCCTCCTTTACTGCCCTTGTTCTTCTTCTGCCCCGGGCATAGCTGAGCTGTGGTAGAGGATACGTTCTCCTTAGGTCCTGACTGCTCTTGGAATTTTGCAGCCCTTTGGGTATTTCTGCAAATATTTCTTTTTTTTTAAGATTTTATTGGAGAATTGGGGGAGGGGAACAGACAAGTTGCTGTCCTTTTGTTCTTCAGTCTAGTTGTGGAGGACATCGCTTCACTGGCCCATGTTGGTATTATCATTGCGCTCTTCCAGGGTGAGGCAGTCGCTTGCCGGCCATTTGACAGCCGCTCATGGTAGCTCACGGCAGCCCACTGCAGCCCCGTTGCAGCCTACACCATCATTGGTGACTCACGGCAGCCCAGCTCCAGGTCGAGCTGTCCTTTACCATCTTAGCTGTAGAGGGCAGTGTCACTGGCCCTCATGCGGGATCTCAACTGGGGCCCTGCTGCTCAGAGCTGGAGCTCCCAAGAAAACTCTTAACTAACACGCCACTCGGCTGGCCCATTTTTTGCAAATATTCAAATGAGGAAAGTGAACCTAACCCCATTAGCAGCTCCCATCTGAACTCAAAGGTCCTCATGAAATTCTTTGCATATAAACTTGATTTTAAGGACTATGCATATATTACTGATGAGAAAATCCAAGTCTAGAATGATTAGGCAGCCTCCCCAAGACATAGAACTAGTGATGGCCAAGCAGCCTGAGAACTCATTTTCATCTGGCTTGTTTCCCACTATGTTTTGCCAGGTAAACTGTCTTAAGAATTGCTGACATAAAAACGCAGCTGTTTTTCCTAACCTGTTCCCAAAGGCCCTTACGTCCTCAAAAGCCACAGGCAAAATTTGGTTGGATTTTATATAACCTGTTTGATTTCTTCTTACAGTGGGGAATGGAATGCAGACCCTTGACTGAGATTTTTCTCAGTTAGGCTGGGTGACATATGTCTTTTTGAACTCTTTTATTTGATATTCTATTAATTTTTTTAAAACTTTCATTGTTTTACTCTTAACAGACCTGTTATGTTTCAGGTGACAGACAAATGTACACATAGAGGAAGCTTATCTAATAAGCTGCATTTGCTCAGGCTACTGAGGTTATAGGAAAAACAAAACCCCAATTGCACACACCAGGACATCCATTTGTTGTAAATTTACCTGACATATTTGATTGATTTCCGGGTTAGACTGTTATCAAAGCATGTGATAAATTGTTGACTATGTGGCCTTCATGATGCCCTTGGCATCTTCTTCCAACACAGAAAGAAGTTTTGTCGTTGTTGGGGGGAAGTAGTTCCCTGGCACATGGGGATGGGGCCACAGAGGCAGTGCCGCCTGGGTTGGCAGCCTGGGGAGGTTGCAATTTATTACATGTAAGCAGTGTTTACATCCCTGGTAACATCTGTTATGGTAAGCAGCAGCCACTTAGACTTTAGCACTTTAATAAAAATCCCCTGAATCGGTTTTTAAGTCATCCTCTTGTGGCAGAACAAAGTAGGAGAGAAAAGAATGGAATAATTGGAGGCTGCTGTCTTTTCACTTCCCACATAAAATTATTTGAAGAGACAGGCCCGAACTTGGAACAAGAATACCAAGAAAAGTTGTAATTTGGATGTCGGTTATTGTGACTTTAGGGTGTTTGCTTAAAGGACTTTTCCCCCAAGTCTTTCTCTCTTTCTTCCCAGACATACTTCAATGACAATATCCTTACCCTGATACGGACCCTGGTGACTGGAGGAGCCACGCCAGAGCTCGAGGCTCTGATTGCTGAGGAGAATGCCCTTCGAGGGGGCTACAGCACCCCCCAGACGCTGGCCAATAGGGACCGTTGTCGCGTGGCCCAGTTAGCACTGCTGGACGGGCCCTTTGCAGACTTGGGGGTGAGTTCGCGGTGCAGGGGTCAATTGAGCCTGCTGTTTGGTCATAGCATGGTCTGAATGATCTGGGTACCAGACAGTGGCAAGTTGGTTATCTGACTTTTCTACCTTCCATAGTAAATAACTAAGAGGTCATGTTTATGGCTTACTGTGTATCAGGCACTGTGTTTTATATGTAATCATTCATTTGTATCCTCATGGTCACCCTTTGACGTAGGTTCTATTATCAGACACTCTGAGGAAACTGAGTCTCAGGGAGACTGAAGACTGGCCCTATCAGGAATTTGCACCAGGAACCCTGGCTTCAGAGCCTATGGCTTACTTACTCCCATCAGGTATCTTCTACCATGAGACAGCAGATGATTCCAGCATACAGCCAAGACTGGGAACGCTTTCTCTAGGGTACTTCACGGCCACTTAACCCCAACTGCACCTTAGTAGCCCATGAGGCGCTTTTATAAGCCATTGACGGCCATGCCCAGCCCGCAGGATTCTGAGCTTTTGTGTCTGGGTAGGACCCTCCACTGGTGGTTTTCAGAACACCACCAGTTATTACAATATGTGCTTCCAGAGCCACTGGCCAAACAAATAGCATCTCATGTGGATCCTTTAATGTCTCTAATTCCAGACCCAGATCTCCTAATTTCTGAGGCTGGACCCAGTCACTCTCCCCCATGTCCTCCCTGCTGCAGAAGTGACCAATGTCTCCCTTTGGGTTCCACACACCAGCCTGGTTCAAGCACTTTGGCAGAAGTACGTAGTCTTAACCCTTATTCCCAGCCCTACTCCAGGGATGCGTGCAAGGGTTGGAGCCATAAGTCTTGGGAACCAATAAACCCATTGCATAAATAATAGCGTCACCCAAGGAAAAGGGTCTCTTTCTTCAGAAACCCTGATGCCGACTTGTGCCATATTTTAGTTTGGTTATGGCCAGGGACCTATGTTTGTAAGGCCACTTCCATAGCTAGTGGCTCTTTTTATCTATCACTCACTGATACACTTTCAAAAGACAAAGACTTTAAATAATGGTAAGATTTGGCTTCGTTTGTGTTCTCTAATATGATGCCGATATGGAGATTGCCATGACAGGAAAGGCAAATGCAGGTACTTTATTCCAAGTGAAGTCATTCTTCAGTGCCCTTCCTATAATAACGCCTACCTGGAGCCACCTGGCTGCATGAAGCCAGCATTTCCAAGTGAATGAATTTGCTTTCACATTCCACATGAGGCCCCAGACCCTTGGATTGTGGACTGATTAGAACTGTGAATCCCAGTTATTCAGCCTGCAGACCTCCAGCTCCTGGGGAAACACTTTCTCTTCCACTCTTGCCATCTCTGAGGTCTGTAAATTGTGCTTTTCACACAGTCCTTACCTGAAAGAGTCTGTCACCATAGTACCTGGTGGGGTCTTTTCTCCTTGCAATGATTTTCATTATCACTCAAGCAGTTTTGACAACACGGTCAGATCACAGCGATTACAGCTAAGCTGGGGCTAAACATAATCACCATTTTGCAGAGCTGACTTCTTTTCCTCAGCTGACCATACATTTGAGACCTTCCAGCTTTGCACCCTCACTTAAAGTCTCCTTAGATCTACAGATGGAAGGCTAGAGAGCACCAAGGGAAAACTGTGTTTGATTCCTCAAAATCACCAATGTTAGGCGTAGTCTGTTAAATTAACCACACTGACTTTTTCAGACCCTCCAACTCAGGAGACACCGAAACAAGCTTCCGTGAAAAGGCCCATTTCCCTCTGGACCTCTACTTGCAGGCCAATAAAAGTGATGTTTCTCTCTGTTCTTTTGTTGTCTCCCAGGATGGTGGTTGTTATGGTGATCTGTTCTGCAAAGCTCTGAAAACATATAATATGCTTTGTTTTGGAATTTATCGGCTGAGAGATGCTCACCTCAGCACCCCCAGCCAATGCACGAAGAGGTGAGTATGTCTGCACTCTGTTCCCCCCACCCAATTCAGAGACATATTAATAACAGCCATCTCCTGTCCTCCACTAAGAGGCCAAGGCTTTTACACATGCTGTCAACATGCAAATTGCCCTGCCCATGTTCAATCCAACACTGAGTTTGGAGGTTATGGGAAGCTTTCTCCTTTAATTACCAATAGCAGATGTAAAGACATTGTGGGAAGAATTTAAGTTTTCTAGAATAGTTGCATCACCTAATTATAAAAGTTGTGAATAGAAGTATCTCCCCAAACTCCAGCTATTGGGATAATTCTGTTGGTACCTTATATAGAGATAGCTCATATTGCTAGTGTTTAAGATAAATGGTTCCTTTGCCACAGCTTAGATGCCTATTTTTACTTAATATATTTTTAATTGACTCACTCATTTACTTTAATATATTTAAGAAAATTGTATATTACCACCTTAAGCAGGAAAAATAACAGTTTATGTATGCTAGTTATATTTTTCCAATATGCATTAAAAGAAATTCATAGCAGCCCCAAATTAAAAGTATGTCCTAGAATTACCAAAATCAGTATATTTGGATAATATACCCCAGGAAACAATGCTGTAGAGATGGGTGTTTCTCAGACCTTGCATATTATAGAATCCCTCGGGGTGCTTTTTAAAAAAAAACTCTGATTAGTCTGACTTAACTGGTCTGGAAAGAAATATATATATGTGTGTGTGTGTGTGTGTGTGTGTGTGTGTGTGTATATATATAATTTTTTAACACCCAGAAATTACAGCGTATAGGCAGAGTTGAGAATAATTGCTGTAGGCCAGTGGGTTCTCAAAGTTTAGTGAGCAGAACAGTCACCTACAAAGCTTGTTAAAATGCACATTGCTGGACCCCACACCCAGAGTGTCTGATTCAGTAGGTTTGGGGTGGGGCTGCTTAGGACTTTGTGTTTTTAAGAGGTTCCCAGGTGATACTGATATATCTGGACTGAGGACCACACTTTGAGATCCACTGCTATAGATGAAACAGTGATTTTTTTTTTTAACTGTTCACCTGAGAAAGCTTGATCAAATTGAGGAGAATAGTTATGGCAGGACTGACTCATAGTCAGGGAGGTGTTTTATGTTCTTCCACTTAGTAAAATGCCCACCAAAGTTGATTTTTAAAAGGTAAAGAGTGAGGAAGGACTAAGATGCTACATTAATCCTCTGGTATAGTTCTGGAATTGTCAGGACATTCTAGAATGACAGACACAGCCCAGTCCATGGAACCTCCTGCACACACTTGAGCTACTCAAGATCAGGAGTGAATTTGACATTGTGTTGAAAGAGGCTCATAGGCCATAGGAAGCAGAGTCTGGTTTTCTCATTATCAGTGCTAATTCAGCATCTTAAGATGCCAGGGCTCATGGTTGGTTTCCTGTGTTGAGCTAAACCCAGGAAGACTTAGTTCAACTTGGAAGATAATTTTTAAGGCCTTGAACCAGCTTGAAGTCCTCCTTCCAGATCCTCTGGTAGACCTAAGGATTCAGAGAAAGGTGAAATGTCCACCCAGCCATCCTCCTTCTGTGACATCTTTGCTCTCCCGTGCAGGTATGTCATCACCAATCCCCCGTACGAGTTTGAGCTCGTGCCGACGGACCTGATCTTCTGCTTAATGCAGTTTGACCACAACGCCGGCCAGTCGCGGGCCAGCCTCTCCCATTCCTCCCACTCGTCCCAGTCCTCCAGCAAGAAGAGCTCCTCCGTTCACTCCATCCCATCCACGGCAAACCGACCGAACCGGCCCAAGTCCCGGGAGTCCCGAGACAAACAGAAGTACGTGCAGGAAGAGCGGCTCTGATATGTGTATCCACTGCCACCGTGTGTGAAACTGTATCTGCCACTCATTTCCCCAGTGGGTGTTTCCAACAGTAACTTCCCCCATTTTCCCCTGTAGTTTTCCCCCTCCCTTTTTTTACACATATTTGCATATGTATGATAGTGTGCATGTGGTTGTCATTTTTATTTCACCACCATAAAACCCTTGAGCACAACAGCAAATAAGCAGAAGGACCAAAAGTTATTTATGATCCTAGGGGAAAAATAACCCAAAGGCATGCTCCAGACATAAATAGCTCACTGCCCGGAATGAGTGCACAGATTAGCAGAGGGAACTTGCGATCAATGTCAGTAGGTAAAGCAAGGTGACGTAGTTCATTTAGTTGGCGTTGAAGAAAAGTTTGTTTTGATATAGCAGGATGATCAGGGTGCTTTGGGTTTTGATTTTGTTGTAGTTTTCCTTCCTTTCTTTTTTTTTTTTTTATACACACACAATGATATATACACACGTTTCTTTGAAACAAGCAACCAAAAAGCAAGAAAACATTTCGATTGAGTCTACTCTCTAGACCGAAGTATCGCGAAGCATTTGAAAAGCTTTCGCCTTTCGGGTAGATGATTATTAAGCACCTGCTTGTTGTAAGAGAACGTCTGAGATTTTTTAGTTACTAACCAAAGCCTTTTGTCCCAGAGTTAGCTTCCTTTGGGAATGCAGATGAACATTTCTACCCTTACCTTGGAGGAAAGCAGAGTATTCCATTCGTGGATGTATCAAATTCTAGTCATTTAATTTTAGTGAAAAGAGGTTTGATTGCATATTAAATTGTTATTCTGTCTCCTTACGCTGCCATGTGAATAGCTATTTTTTTTCTTTCACTTTTTGACATTTGGGATGAAAAGCCATATGTATCATAAATATCAGATGTAAGTCATTAAACACTGCCTTCCTGGGACTTTTACATCTTTTAAAAGGTGAATTACTTACCTTATGTACAGAATAAATAATGCTCAGGAAAGAGCAAGTATTTTTCCACGCATTCTCAGGGGGCCTTTTTACTCCCCTCTGTTTGATTAGCTAGGGTCCCTATGCCAGGTAGGAGCAAGGGTTAGGGCCATGGAAGAGCAAGAGGAAGATAAACCCAGCAGCAGATCATGTTTTCCTAGGAGCCGACATGCTAAATAAATCAGAATGGAGGAGGATCAAGCCACAGTTGACTCAACAGAGACAAAAGCCAGCTACCACCTTACACTGGTGGCACAGCTGCATGATGCTAGCTGTCCCAAAGCGGAAAGCTCGTGGGGAAAATTCCTCCTCATCAATTTCTTTAACATAGCCAATTTACTTAGGCAGGTGAAGGACAATCATAGAGGACTTCTCCTTGTCATTATGACGTGGGGAGGAGGAGAAGAGTACAACAGTGAGCCAAACACATTTTGGTACAATAATTTTTTTCTTTTGTTTTCTTTCTTTGTCTCAGTTAGTAAGCATGAGAGGAAAGGTAGACAAATACCCTTTTTTTCAGTATACAGTTGTCAGATGTTTTATGCATGCAAATCATGCTTTAGTGCAGTAGTTCTTAAAAAATCGGCCCACTCCCCCTAAACCAAATTCTGACATAGATGGACCAGCCCTGGGCTGGTATGTACATATTTGCGATGCTTACTTTTAAATTTTTCCATCGAGTAGAATAGGGGTGGAGGGAAGGAGAAAAATGTCACAGCTGTACTATCTCTAAAAAGGTGTTTTTATGGTGAATGTTTTGGGTTTAGATTTTGGATCCCCTGTCCCCCCAAGCATGATAGTTTTGGAGATTTGCTTGCTGTGTGAATTGACAAGCACTTTTACTGACAAAATGGTGAGAGGCTCAGTCAGAAACTCCACCCCCACACCAAAGACAAGGCATGCAGTATTCAAACCAGTAATGGGGTGGGGAATCATTGTATACATGTATATTAAAAAGCCCCTATGAACAGAAGATTTTTTTCAAATTATTTTTGTCCCTATATATAATTGATTTATATATTATGTATAACTATCTTTTTATATATAACTATATAAATATTTCTTTATATATACACATATATACGTATATATGTATACACACACACACACACACACACACACACACACATACACACATGTCCCCTAGTTTTGGATCATGAAGAGCTCTTCATGCATTCTTTGCAAAGGAGGTTATACAGTTACGCCCTCAGAACATTTATAACTATAAGAATGTGCCAGTTAAAGTGCTCAACAGGAAATATGACAGTTTAAAAGCATTGTAAAACTCACATAGCTTACTTCTCTCTCTAAAGTGCAACAAGGATGAATAGAATGGGCCAAGGTATGACAATTAATGGTTCTGCATGACCTAGCCACTGCTGGGGGTTTTCTTCTCTAACGTTGTCCTTGTGAAAACTTTTGTGAAATTAAAAAAAAAAAGGAGTTACAAATTTTATTCTGTTATTGGTTTGTTTATTTTTATTTATATTGTTCTGTTTGTGGTTTTATTTATTTTGTTTTGCTTTTTATTTTTTCCTCCCCATTTCCCCTCCTCCCCACTTCCTTCTTCTCCTCCTTCCTCCACTTTCTAAATTGCTCAGCGCAATGAGGCTGTGCTGCTGCTACTGCTAGAACCCTTAGAGTTTGTTTTGGTGTTCTTGGGTTTGGGGCTGGGTAATATGGGGGGAAGTTCTCTCCATCTGGCTTGCCTTTTAATCTGCACGTGGCCTCCCTGCCCACCTTGGTACCTTGCTCCAAGTTCAAAAGCATTTTCCCATCGAGAAGCCCAGCTTCCTCCACTTCCCCCCATTACCACCACCCCAACCCAGTCCCCCATCAGTCTGTCCACATCTCTGTGTTTATCTTGGCAAGACCTACTAAATCAAGTGATGATGCCAGGTGATAAACTTTTCTGGAAAACATATGCATCTATTCCATTTGGCAAACCTGCTTCTCAGTTAATATTTTATCCTCCTTTTGATTGAAACCAGGAGGATTATTAATGGCAAAAGCATTGATCTCCTTTATGTTTGATCAGCGTGACCCAAAATTAAAACTGTTCAGCTGTATGTATTGACTCAATAGCCCATACCCAGTCACCTGGGGGCTGATGACTCAGTCTCTATATCACCAAGGTCTCTCCTGCCACTTGCCTTTCAGACATTTGTTAAATCCCAACCAGAGATTGGGCAGATAGAGAGAAGTAAATCCAAAATGCGTTGCATATACAATCTGTTAGCAGCTCTGATGAGATGATACTGTGACGGGAATGGAATGGGAACCGACTGTGATGTGCGATGAAATTTGGGGATTTTCCCTGGACTTTGGGCACACAATTGAGAGTTGTCTGTACTTGGGTAATGATATATTCAATGATGAAAAAGGTATTAGTATTACTTCTATTTTATTAGCCAAAACTACTATGTTATACTTTCCTCAATAGAACAAAGAGTGTCCTCCATTGTTTTCTGTGTGACCCCAAATTTCCCATTCCTCTTCCAGGCTTTCTTAGGAAGGAGGCATACAAGTGTTTCGTATTAGGTCTCTCCTCTTCTCCGTCCCCACTGCAAAAAGAAAGAAGTAGGTAAGGGTAGAAAGTGAAACAGTTATTTGAAGGGAAAGTATGTGCATTTAAAAAGAACAACAGCCAGAAACTCAATTATCTGCCATTCTAGAAGAGAAGCAATTTGTAAGCCATTCAGTCCAATTTGCTTTAGGCTTCAAAAGGGATAAACATTAATTTAAGTGGGTAGAACAGAAGGCGCAGTGAGCCTTCTTAGCCTCAGAACTCAGACGATCATGAAATCATCAACATCCCTAACGATGACTCCTCAGGGTCCTTCCTAAAGCCAGTTCAAAAGGCTACAGAGAAAGCTGGACCCCTGTAGCTATAGTTAGATTTCTACCGCAGTTGGCCAAAGTTTCAAATTCTGTTAGGAATACTAAAGGTTATGACCTAGAACTTTATGCACAATAGGTGCTCAATATATATTTTGAAGTAAATTAACCTTAAACATTTCTCTACTTTTCATCATTTTATAACTTATTTTTACCCCCTTGGCTTATCTTTAAAAATAGACAGCAAAAGGCCTATAGGGGCTTCACTGTGCTGCTATGCTGTTGGCACTTTCTCGAGCTGGGTACACAGCTTCTGAGAAAGGGGAACAGTCCTATAAGATGGGTGAGTAGAGAGACTTGCTGTGCCTTCTGCCAGCGTTGTCAAGATCTTAGGTGACCAGAAAAACCTTTTGACTGGCTCTTCTTCAGCATGGGAAAAACCTAAAGGTGTCTACATCCCAATAGAGACAATTAAATAAACCTGCCAGGTTCCTATAGCAACAGGCTCCTGAAGGAGAAAGGGGAGTACAAAAACTTCAGGGCCTGTGGAAGTCAAGACAGGGTAAAAATCAATGTCGCAGTCAGCTTCTTTCAGCCCATCCCTGCTTTGTCATAACGTGATAAAGAAGTAGCTGTGGGCACCTGTCACTAACCTGGCTGCCTGTCTCCCACCGAGAGCTTGCACATTCATTGCATGGGGAAGTGAGAGGGATTATCTCTGCCACCTGAAAAGGAAAAGTGCAAATTCTGCCCTCCAGGGGTCCAAGGGCCAGGAGGGGCAGCTTGCCCTGCCTCACAAATGGCGGCATTAGTCTTTCAGTTAAAAAGAGGCAAATAAAAAAGAGGCAGTCAGGACAATTGCAAAGAAGTGAGAGTTCTCATCAGCAGAAACTGCTCTCGTCCTGGTACAAATGATTTTCATTTCTATAAAATAGCTACACTTTGCCCATGGAGAGGCAGTGTGCGTGGGTGGGGTCCGCTGGGAGCCTTGGGGTCTGCGGGGCAGAGACCAAGTCCCAGACTGCCTGCCAGAAATGGGAGATGTGAAACCATACAGCGTTACCTTTGGAGGCTGTTAGCTTTCACTGTCCTCGGCTGTTATCTCTATCCAAATGGAATCTTTTTCTTTCAAGCTCTTTTCTCTCTAAACCCCAGCTTGTGGTACAGCCAGAAGAGGGCCAATTATTCCAAATGCCTTTGCTGTATCATTGTCTCCCCTTTAATGCATTCTCCTCTGGGGAGCAGTTATATGAAAAGGCTAAATCCCACAGCACTGACAACCCACAGAGCCAGCAAAGAGACTCAGTTCTCACAGCACGGCATGTTTCTCTGTTTCTAGGTCCCCAGACAGTAATCTCAGCCCGGATCTGGGGCCCTTTTCCACCATAGTGTACTATTCTGGGACTCCCGTGGCTGGAGGAAATCCTGACCCTTATTCTGGACCCTTCAGTCCCAGTAATGAGTGTAGCAATGGGAGATGGAGATGGTTTGCAGGTGGGGTAGGGTGCCTGTTGAGTGAAAGCCAATATTCCAAAGACACAGGTACCACAATAGGGACGCAGCCTGGACCGACCCAGGCAGAACACCAGTCACCCCTTCCCCTCCTCACCTTCCAAATGAAGACTGCCCGACCAAATCCTCCTCTGTTGTATCTACTGCCACAATCCTCATTCTCAGGCCACCGCCCCAATTTGTACACTTCCGTTCTCCACTCCCAGCTCATTTGCAATCACACTGAAAAAGTACTGCCCATCCTTACATAGCCTTTTAGTACTGAGATTACTTATATTAATACTAACCTTATACTAAAAGCTAACACCTTAGTGCTTACCACAGGCCAGGCATTCTTCTAAGCACCTTACATATATGAACTCATTCAATCGTTAACCCAACCTCAGGTGTAGATGCTGTTGGTGCCTCTGTTTGAAAGATGCAGAACCTGAGGGACAGATTTGTTCAGATTCATCTAGCCAGAAAGTGGCAGAGTTGAACTGAAAACTGGAGCCTATAAATTTTGTCACTCTGGTATAATGCCTGGTAATATCACTAATAATGCTCAGAGTCTCAGCAGCTCACATTTCCTTACCATGTATCTGGACCAGTGATAAGTGATTCATGGGCTCTGGTCCCTTTTATCCAAACAACGACATTAGGAGGATCTTATCATTAGCCCTGTTTTACAGAAGAGAAGCTAAAGCTTAGATAAATTATGTAATGACTTGCTCAGAGCCCTGCAACTAGCGTGTGAGAGAGCCAGACCCATTTGAGCTTAGCCTACTGCCCTCTGCCATCTCCCTGGCCTGCAGCTCTTTGCTTGTGTATGCCCGACAACTCATGGCATGGCTAGTCTTGATAGGTGACACCTCCCAACAGCAGTGTCAGTTCTTTTGCCAGCATCTCTCTGCAGTGATTTTGCAGGTTTTTATCTTGCTTTACTAGCCCCCTTGCCACAGACGGTGTGCAATGCCACTCCTTCCCTAACTCCTGGCAGATCACACATTGTACTCACAGTGATGGCATCATGCATCTCATCCTCAAGAAGCTTATTAACAAATGGGGCTATTATTCCCTGGCAGTGAGGAGGCCCTCACAGCCAGATCCATTGCCTTTCTCATTTTAGGGATAAGATAAAGTTCCCAGAAATCTTTCTGGCATCTGAGATACTGCAGGGAGTGGACTCATTTGAATTCCTCCCCTGAGCACCCTTTCTTATGGCCAATTTTGTAGCCACCCCTTGGCACAGTTTCTTCTTTGGAAGGCAAGATTCAATAAGTGTCATTGTCATACTCAAAGCACTTTCCATTGAAGTGGAATGACTGACGATCATTAAGTGTGTGTTCCCCTGAAGCCCTTTGGGAGAATCTCTTCATAAAATATCTTTTCCCTCAGACATATTTAGTACAACGCTCAGAGCATTAATACATTCCCATTTCCCCAACATCCTCTCTAACCAAGTCTCCAACAACACATGTACTTACATCTTACAAGCTCCCCTGAATTAAGACGCCTGTTTCTCAGGCATAAGGAAAGTCTCAGCAAATCACGAGGATGTGCTTTAATGTAACTCCTTCTTGTGTTGACGCTGAATGGCCAAAACACAGGAGCTACTCAGATTTTTTTGATTTTTTTTTATGGCAAGACATTTAAAAGGAAACAAACAAACAAAAAGCTTAAGTGGGGAAATAATGCTTCTTTCTTACAGACAGCAGAAGGAAATTGATATTCTCTCTGCCGTGGAAGGTCAAAATGCCAACTTTGAATTGAACTGCAAAGACTAAATTCTGAACAACTATTGTCTGTAGCAGTTGTAAAAACTTCAGCAAATTGCAGCTGTCTTAGGTCTTTCACCCAAAAGACCTACTCGCTCCCCTAAGCAGAGTTCACTCTCCCTTCCAACCTGGCATGTTGAACCCAGCACTAACTCCCTTTGCAAAATCAGCCCACATGATGGCACAGCCAACACCAACGGTGGCTGAGGCACACAGCACTGATGCTGGGTTCAGTGCTTCTAAAAATCATCTTTACACATAAACCGTTGGAAAAAGTCATAGTTTGAAATTGTTTCAGCGGCCTGGCAATGCTTTTAAAACATGATAACCATCACACTTTACTCCTCTCTGAAAGGTTAGTTTAATCGTAGATCACAAAAAAATTGGTTTCCACAAATGCATAATGGTTCATCTATGTCACACTTGAACTAAATGGTTTTTTAAATGGAGCTGAAATTATTTTGATGTGTACACAGTCCCAGGTTTCTATACAACCTTTTTTAACCAGCCCATCAGGAACCTTGCCTCTAAAGCCTCATTAATAATTCAGATGTGCTGATGACTTTAAAAGATCTATGGAATTGAAGCTTAGGGAAAAAAAAAAAAACCTCTGCTTGACAAAAAGATAAATGAATGTAGAAAGAAGCTGCAGGAGTCTGGCAAGCTGTAGATCATCTCAGAACAGATTGTAACTTTATCATTCTGTCAGGGGGAATAATTTAAAGCACTTAATCAGTTAGCTTCACTGTGAGGATGTAGCATTATGAATTCCTATCGTCCAATCTGTTCAAATCAAAGTGAACTTAATTATAATAGGTGAGAGAGCCAGAGCAGGAGACAGGGGGGTAGAGAGTGATCCAAGAGGCAGTAAGTTTCCTGGGGGGTAAACTGGGCTTGCTGAACAAAGGGTAGTGAGTAAGCAAGCTTTCACCAAGGCACAGCCTAGCTCCAGCGATCTTGGTTACACTGAGGGCTCAGGGAACTTGACCAGCAAAGAAATGTATGGACCAAGTTAAAATAAGCGGGATGGTCATGAGCTAATGAGAGATGCTGAATTTATAAATCACTAGCCACGTGGGGAGACACACACACACACACACACACACACACACACACACACACTCTCTCTCTCTCTCTCTGTCAAGCCAGGTGAGCAATTTTTGTTAACATATCAGTCCAAGACCACTGACAAGACAGTTATGAATTGTTCTGATAGGCAGAAAAGGAGGCTGCAGAGGTCATTGTCTCTATAGCAGTGGGTGTGCTTGAAAGCTTTTCTCATTTTCTTTTCTTTTCCTAAGCCACTAAAATGAGGCGTATGATTCCCAAGTTAGAATGTCCTAGTCACCCAATCTCTTTATATCTAGACACATGGCCTATTTTTCAGAAAATTTCAATCCTAGAAAGAGACGAGGATGAGGGCTGCACCTTGTAAAATAGCTCTGAACTGCTAAGAGGATGCTGGGCCATTTTCATTTTCACCCCAGCCCCCGAACGCCTGACTCGGCATTCTTTCTCAGCCATTCCCACGTTCAGGGTGGAAATGGAATGCCAAGACTTCTACCTCCCTTGTCAATGGTTTGGGTTATTACAGCCCGTTAAGATGGTGCCACAAGAAATTCTTTTCATACCAGCACAGAGTTTTCTTTTTTGAAATAAAAGCCACCTCAAAATCCTCTTAAAATATTGTTTGTTATTCTGATTTTCACTCTCATTGGCTAACAAAACTGTGGGCTTACTTTAAGACCCTCAAAACTGGCTGCAAAAGAAATAGAAGAATGGAATAGTTGAGATATAACTTGAAGTGTGCTTTTTACAAGCAAAGCCACAGAAAGGCTGGGAGAAGGAGGTCCTGCATGTGATTGTAGATCATTCACTATATGTCAGAGACATGCCCCTTATATTCCACTCAAATCAATGGATGCACAAATCTTTCCTCAGGCACAATGTCTACACCCAATATTTGATCTATTCAGCATCTCCTTCACACCAGAGCTTTTCAGGCCACATAAAGAACCCCAGAGAACATTGCCAGACTTCACTTTCCAACTTCTCTTTATTCTCTGAGGTCTGCCCGTTGTGCCTCAAGTCCTAATGGCCCATTGGTCATCATTTGCTATGGCAACCGAGGAATGTTTCAGGTTCTGGGGTTCTCCCTACATTGCACTGTCTCTCTTAGCAATAACTCACTGTCAACTTCTATCTATTACCTTTTTGCATTTTTTTCAATGAACTTTCCAAAGGCTTTACCCTAGGACTAATTAAGCTTCTTATTTCTCCTTCTTGTTCTCTATCCATTTTGCCCTTTAGCAGAAAAGAAATGGTTTACAGATGAACCGGATAATGCCTATCCCAGAAACATTCAAATCAAGCCCATGAGTACCCACATGGCTAACCAGATCAACCAATATAAATCCACAAGCAGCTTGATTCCACCAATCAGAGAAGTTGAAGATGAATGTTGACTCCCAGGAGACCAGAACTATTTTTTTAAAGCCTGACAAACTTCATAAATGGTGATGTGACTTTTCTTCCTCTTACATGCTGAATCACTGGTGGAAACGTTAGGATAAGCAAGATTTGCAAGAAAAATAAGTAGACAGATCTTTCTCTTTGTCTGCCTTGAATATTGCTTCCATGTATTTTGGAAAAGAAAATGATTTCATTTATAAATGAACATACTAAAATAGTCATGTATAGCCTCTAGCATTTTAAATTATTTTTATTTATTAGAAAGAAAATCTATTTTTCCTTTTTTTTCATTATCAAATATCTTCCCTGTAGCTAAACAATGCAAAATCAAAATGAATAAGTGGCCAGACTCCTTAATGCGTATATCTCTTCTTTTTCTTTGAGGAGAATGATGGTCACCACCACAATTAATTGTAATGACGGGAAATGGATTATTAAAACAATTTTAAAATGGTTCAATGATGTAAACATGTATTTTAGTAAATTCAACAAAGAATACAAAAGGGGCAGGTGAATTTCCTGGATGGGTGTATATTTTGGCTTCATTGACACCAGCTCTTAATAAATGGAAACATTTATTTTCACAGTTGAAAGTCATATTTTTGTAGTTTTAGTTTTCATTCTGTATTTTTTATCCCTTTGTTAATATCCTTAAAAGGGAGACCTTGCAGCTTTTCTACAATTGCCAGATCAGGTTTACCCAGCCAACTAACAATAGCAGGAGGGTTTTGAGCACGCCTGGGACATGGAAATTGAGGACCAGATGCACACAAGACATTGGTGTGTTTGTTGTTCTAATGGTAGAGACTCCTCCATGCTGTTATACTTCTCATTTTATATCTCCAAACCACCCACACAAGTAATTTCAACTTTGGAAGGGATTGGTGGACTCTCTCCCTATTCCCCAAGCCTCAGAGCTTTTAGTCTGAAAGTTTATAAACAATAATGAATAGTTTTGCTCAACAATAGGATGTGATAATACATTCATTCTTCTCACTGAATTTTTGTTTAAAAGCCAGAAAATTTCTATCATCAAGAAGACAACTTTTACCCAGATTTTTTGTTTTGCAGGCTTTCCTTTAGTTGCTGGGACAAAAATATGCAAACTTGCTACAACAATATCAACAATATAAAAAATAGTAACAACAAAAGGAAAGCAATGAATGCACTTAAAACAGACTGTTAGAAAAGGCCTTTGAAAATTACCAGCAATGAAATCAAATCAAATGTATCAGCCACTTCAAACTGTGGTCAAAAGATTTTTCTAGCCATCAGACACAATTACCATGTCTCAGAGCTCTGCTGTCGCTCGCTTGCTCAGTGTACAGTCGTCCCGGCAACTGTTATGTTCCAAACAATTTAGCAAGTCTTTTAACTTCAAAATTATCAATCTTTGGTACAATCATCAGGGTCTCTGGAGAAGCATGGATGTGACAGTGATTTTTGTTTTCTTAAACTGTGGGCACTTGAAGAAGCCAAACTTACCAAAATCTCCCCCAAAGTCCCATGATATCGATTCCATTAATTCTTTAGACCATGACCCTGTGGTGCCTAGTATGCTAGTGCAAATCCGATCAAAGCCAAGCAATGAACTCACCATGAAAACATATGTCCACACTAAGTACTCCAATTATCAATGTAGGCAAAACGAGCTTCCACCTCCCTGCCACTCCCTGCAGAGCCAATGTAGTCGTACTTCCACCTCGTAGGCGCCGTCCTGAAGTGACTTGTCAGACTGTGTCGTCACATTTTGTAGAATTAGTTCTATCAAAGTATTGTGAATATAATGTATGTCCAATTGGATTGTTTAAAAACTACTTATAACTAATCACTAGTCTACTCAGCAGACTAAAATGACGTCAGCAGTCTATATTCAGGCTTACAACATTTCCTGGGTTCCAACAGAAGTAAAATGGGTTTGTGGGGGTGAAACCCTGGCTAGGATTTTACAACTTTCCTGAAAGCTGGACCTGCTTCTACATAATGATTTTGCATTGGGGTCACCTTAGTCCATTCACATCAATCCACGCTCTTTTTTCCTTCATGAACTCCGGGGGACTCTTGTTCCTGAGAAGCGTTTATGAATTATTCATAGCGATTTGGTCTCCTCTGGCAAGCGATGGCCTCCTAAGTGATCTTAGGGGAACTTAGGCCACAGAGTCCCATGTCCGCTGTCCTCTCTTCCCCATTTCTCCATACCAAGTCAATCTGGAAGCGGAAATGTAAACTTTATGCCCTTCATTGCTAGAGACTTGAATCTAAACTTTTGTTTTTAACCAAATAGTTAAGATGGTTTTCTACAGCAAAGGACTCCTACCGGAAAACTAATTGGCGGGGATCCATTTTCTTCTAAGGTACAGCAGCAAGCTCAGGCTGTTTTGACTTTGTAATAATGGGTTGTTCTGGGCCAGAAAATAAAATCAGACATATTTTTAAGGAGGTATGCACAATAATTGGTTGTTGGCTGTTTTGGCGAAAGCTGCTTCCTGGTAGGTTAAAAGTGAAAGGAAAACAGAAACAAGATTGTAAGACCACTGAAGGGCTCAAGGGCGTATCAGAGCTTCCTGGTTTGTTTCTATTTGTTGAGCTTTCTGGCCCTGAGGGAGTGCTCATCCCATCCCACCATAATAGACTCAGTCTTTCTGGCTAAATTCATCATAGACCAATGATGGTCATCATTGGTACAGACAGTGTTATAAGGCTCTGATCTCTTATCTCAGTTTAAGGTTCCAGGAAAGCCACTTCCCTAAACTAAAGACTCTTGGGTGCTTTTGGAATCAAAGACTCACCAACTGGCTATTTAAAAAGCAGAAAGCACCTATTTATAAAGGCACCATCACCATCATTATCTTTCTTTTTAAGAATATTTTTATTTTCATCTGAGCAATTTTATATTTTAAAATATCACCTTGAAACAATATAAAACACTTTAAAACTGATTGTGACTAAGGAATGTTGGGGAATATCCAGAAACTCTGTCCTTTTGAAAGGTTGAGGCATCTTATGATATACTTTGTACAAAATTTACTTGAAGACTTTAAATAAACTGAGAATTCAAACTCTTTGGTTAGGGTTGGAAAGGGGGAAGTGAGAAAGCCTGAGAAAACTGGGGATATTTTCATGTTGAAAGGTGAAAGAATCTAACTTTCCTATTTATAGTTTAAGATGAGGATTCTAGAGCTACATCTGCAAATAACTATCTACTCACATTGAAATGTTCTTTAAACTCTCTGAGTCTCAATAACCACATTTGTAAATGAGAGTGATTCATCTAGCTGACTCTAAGGTCCCTTTCAGATCTGAGAGGACATGATTTAAGTTAGGAATGGGAGCATGGGAACAAGCCCTTCGAGGCCATCTTGTTCTGTGCTAGAATAATGGTCCCCCTAGCTGCATCACCCATGCAGTACTCCAGGGCTATGTGCAGTTCTGCTCTGGACACATAGCAGTTGGATTCATTCCTCTGCTTTACACTAAGGAGTCTCCTTAGGTTCAAAATACAAATTTGAAAATTCATATTTTTCGGCATCACATTGATCAGATTTTGTGTGTGTGTTCCTAGGGTTTTCTTTGCAATCTCATTCCTGCCTGCCCTTTTCCTTGGTTCAAGGCTCAGTTTTGAATAATTCCTTTTCCTCTGACCCATCTCTCCAATTTCCAATGTGTAGTTTGAGGCTCATGGGTTCTGGATTCCTGAAGTTTTCTTTGTTTTTGTTTCTGCAGTGGATTTAGGTGTTAGGAAGTCACCAGTTTTTAATCCTCACTTCACTTTCTATCTTCTGCTTATCTGATTTTTTTTCTTCCATGTATACATTAACTATCTCTTTGCTACTTACATTCATAAAGTCTAATTTTGCTCTATCAATTTTCATTGCCAAAAAGAACCTCAGTAAAGGAAGAAAGGGACAAAAGGAGAAAAAGAGGTAGAAAGTGAGAGAGAGAAAAAAAAGAATATCAAACTAATTGACTGGGATATGAATCATTTTACTTGTAGGAAACTAAGCAAATCTATTCAACTTGGACATGGTGTTCCAATACAGAATCTGTCTACTTTCTATTCTGCTTCTATATTCTGTTCCTATTTGCTGCCTTTGGAATGGTGGTAAAATCACCAATCACTGTGGCCTTTGAAAGGGCCCTTAATAGTTAAGGCTTGACTCATCATCTTCAAAAAATATTGTAGAAGGGACTGAGAATTCACTTAGAACTTACCTTCTTGCCCCTGCCCTAATCATCCATGTTCCTGCAAGACATTTTTTTCCTCTCCAGCAGAGATGATTTCACATTGAAATCCCATGTTCATCTGAGGAGGTGAGGTGGCCCTTTGTATTTATTTATGAGAGACTAGTAATTAGAAACAATTTCTGGCCGGTTTGTTCTAGCGTGGTCATTTTGGTTGTTCAAGTGAAATTTGTTTTGATTGTTTGTTGCCCATGCAATATCAGTTGTTAATATTTTCAAAATTGCCATAAAACAAGACAATTGAGAGAATGCTTCAATTTTATTTCTTAAGGAACTACAGAACCTAAAATGCCATTCCTATGGTAAGCTTGCTTAGAACACATACAGAGAGAAAGCAGCCTAAGTTTCCCTAAGAGCAGCCCTTTAGTCCTGCAACAGTTAAAGGCTCCATGATATCACAGCTTCAAGTGGTTAGACTGGGAAGGAATTTTAAATTAGACTCTGTGTACCAGACTTTCCTTTTTTGCCTCATGGTTTAGCATGAAAATGGTCCTGAGACTTCTGTATCTAAAGACAGAAGAAACTCAGGACATCCATCAAGGAGCGAGGAAGAAAGAACAAAAGCAAAAGGATATAAACAGCATTTTAAAGTGCTGTCAGCCAGGAAGACGCATAGCATGGCAAGAGTTAGGCTTTGGGTTGAAAGAAGGAGGAGATTGCGTTGAACTACATGGGTTGGGAAAAATACAGAGGAATATAATGCTTGATGGGTTTTGGAGGTATTTCAATGGGCAATAAATGACTGGAGAGATGTGGAGCATGAGGTTTGCCAGAAAGAGGAGGTCTAATGGACCATGGCTCATTGGTAGAATTGTGATTTCAACACATAGACCGTGTTGTCTATGGTGGCAAGTTGGTGTAGGGGAGCTGAGGAAAACTGAGATGAGACCTCATGGAAGAGCTTAGAGAGTAGTACATAGTCTTAGGGGCCAAGCTAAGATTTTGAGATTTGATTTAGAAAGTCATGGAAAACCACTAAAATTTTAAATAGAGAGTGATGGACACCGATGTCTGTGCATTTTTTAGGTTGCAAGTTTTGAGATGTCAGTTCTCCCTGGAAGTCATCATGAGCGTGTGCACAAACCTGAACGTTTTCACAGTAGCATCAAGTTCTCAGGGGTGCAGACTCAGCATGTGAAGCACGCTGGGGAGCATAACAGTTGTAGCAGCTTAGTTGGAGTTGTAGGGGCTGGTATGGGGGCTGGGTGTTGGGACAATGACTGTTGGAAAAGGTTCTTTGTGAAAGGGACACAGAATTTGGACCTCAAGGGAAGAACCATGTGGAGGAATCAGAAAGAAGAAAGGAAGACAGAAAGGGGGACCAGCAAATGCAGGCACTGAGACGTGTTGCATTGGCTTCATTCAGAAGACGCTGAGGGCTGTCGATAAGGGAGGGTCTTCCAGGCAAAAGGAGACTGGAAAGTAGAGCTGAAGAGAGGGTTCCAACAGTCCCTGTGGATTTGGAAGTCAGACCCACAGAGATACTTGTAAAGTGCGAAGCATGGCTGAGTTCTCCAAAGGAGAAAGTGTAGGTACAGAAGATCAAAATATTGGTAGGGGGCTGCAACCATATTTTTAGGGGCTAAAAGGAACAAAATAAGTAGATACTCCTGGGATAGAAGATCTAGGGTATTCTAGAGCCAGGAAAATGGGAAACAAAAAAAGGGGAATGTTAAGATAGAGAGAGCGGGTCATCCATTAGGCTGGAGATGAAAGGTATTGGAGATGGTTATTCAGAAATGAAAGGACTCACTTGACAAGGGCAGGAATTTGCTCATCAGTCTTTATCCCCAGAGGTTACCATGAGCCCAGGCTCAGGGTAGGTAGTCAGTTAGCCACTATGTGTTACTTTGGGCGCCAGGGGCAATGGTGTTTGCCCTGGACTTCTAGGTCACTGACACTCTTCCTGGAGAAAGACTCAAAAGAGAGGGATCATGAGGTGAGTCTCTTCTTTCACCTCCCTGTTCATGAAGTGCCATTGTTTCTCATCTCCCCTTCAACCCCTGAACAGCACACACCCTGGCAGCTTTGGTTTCGTGGCTCCTAAATGCTACAATCACTTTGCTTTGGTGGCTTTTTTTGACAGGCAGCATGAGGAGAGAGGGGTGTTTTTTTTTGGCATGGTGAAAACCGACCTTAATTTCTAGGTAGATTTTAAATGTTAAAAGGGTTTCTTTGGTCTGTTTATCCCCTTGAGGACTTCTGTGTTTCTTCTCCTCTGCCTTGCTGTTCTGCAGAACAAGGACAAAGGGACACCAAAACTCTCCAGTGTGCTTGCCTGAGGAAGCATTACTGGGCCTGCTGTTCAGAATCTTAGACAGAAATGTAGACATGGCACTGACACACGCCTGCCAAAGAAAACCAGAGCTTTCCTCACATGGGATTCAGGGTCCATGTGAGAAGGCAGCCAGCAGGTAAGGAAGCACTGCCAACAAGGTTGATGGAGCCCCACTTCCACACTAAACCAAAGCCCTGGCTGCCCCAGAACAGCCTGTCCCCCTTCCCTTCCTTCCGCTGAGGACAGCCTGAGACACGTTTGACCAGAACTGCAACATTTCAAACATAAACCAAGATCTGCCTGGAAATCTTAATTAAAAATGTTCCATTCCCAGGTGGCACAATTACATCCTGCCTAAAACTCCTGGCCCACATCCCACCACCCAGATGCTGAAAAGAAACCTTCCCCCACTTAACACCAAAACCTGCACTCAACATTACTTCAGGGGACAAAGAAAAAAAACAAAAAATGTACACTTACGGAGAGGGCAGCCTACATGTTCATTAAGGAAAAAGAGCGTGGCTTATTCATCTGGTTTTCAAACTTTTGATTGTTGGCATTTTGATTATGATTATAATTAATTACTATGATGGAACAGGGATTGGAGGAGAGAATAAATGCTGGTGCTCTGAAATGATCTACCCAACTTTGTCATCTGTAACAACCAGTGATAACTCTCTTGTCTTGTAAAAAGGGTTTGTACATAACTTGTACATGGTTTCATTTTGTATTTTTCGCAGATTAAAAATTTATGTATTTGTGTTCTAAAACAAGTCTTTCTTGTGTCTGTGTAGCACCCACATGGCCATGGGGTAGTAGGGGGTGAATGTAGCAAAGTCCCTTAGTCTTAGGCTTTTGCTCTCTCTGATGAAGGCAAAGTTAGGGACCAATAGAGCTGTGCATGGGCTCGCCTTTCCAGCTTTGAGCACAAATCGATTCCCACATCTCCAGGGACACTGTCAGCGGGTGCCAGCCCAAAGCTAAAATGGACAGTGGGGGAAAAGAAGAACCACTGTCATCAGATGTGGTGCTTGAGAATCGCTACAGGGCCACACC